AGGAAGTCCAGGAGCAGACCATGTTTGGTCACCTGCAATACAAACAAAAATACTTTATACAAATGAAGCAATGCTACTACTGAAGATGTGACATTGACTGTAAGAGAAAAATGTAATTGTTTTCCTCAGAGAAAAGATGTACTCATTACCAAAATAAAAGCTTTCTCTACCTTTTTGATGGTGGCTTTGACCAGAAGTCCAGGCAGCAGGTTAGTGAGGTTCCAGCCTTGTTCGGATTCAGCACAGGCCTGGGTGGGGGTGCTCAAAGAAAGGCGAATCATGCGCCCATCGTTCTTTACTTCGTCCACTCCACAAGTGACGTTCTGACCCACTTTCAGCTCTGGAGAGACAAGAACAAACGCTTTAGACATTAATCCATTACTTTATGCTAAACAATTGGGAAACAACTGCACTACTGCTACTCGGCAACAGAAAATGTGGAATCCACTAAGATTGTCATACCTTCTGGGTGTTTGTCCTTTACTGCTTCCCTGGGCAGGAAGGCTTTGGTTCCACTGAGGCCAATGTCAACTATGTAGCCATGATCCTCCACGCTGTCCACACATCCACTCAAGACCTGAGTTGTCACAAAATATATGTAAAATATATTGTTAAATAAAACTAAAAAGGTAGCTGATTTTTGGTAACCACATTTTGAACTAAAGATCATTATGACTGACCATGCCAGCTTTCAGAGAGTTTGAGGTGAGAGCCTTGTTGACCAGCTTTGGATTGATTGACAGCTGGATGCTGAGAGCGCCTCCTTTGGCTAGATCCAACTTGGCAATCACACACCTGAACAGCATGCCCGGGGAGAAGATGTGTTGCAGAGAGCAGATCTCCTGTGAAGGGAGAATACAATCTCTTGTTACAGATTCAAAGATTCAAAAACCAATCATGTCGTTTGCACAATAGCGACAGCGTGGTTGTTGGCAATGAAAATCTTAAATCCAAGGCTTGTATCCTAAGAAATTAGTAAAGTATTGACATAGAAATTGCAAATAAAGAACCCTCAGACTTAAGTTAGTTGCTATATTAATCTAGACTCCACATATCAAATAAAGCCAGAACTCACATATATCATCCCAGTTAAAAATACTAAGAAAAATTGAAATATATGCTGCTGTATCTTCAGAACTATCACAGGATGTGTATTTTGTAAATTGTGTACTAAAAAAAAATAAAAATGTTTTATGCATGCTTCTTGGTTATTATCAAGCTTTCTTTAGCTCTTTTCTTGCTGTAAAAAAATGCAAATTTCCCCTCTGTGGGGCAAATAAAGGTATTTGGACGGAATTGTTTATAATTGATGATATATCCCACAGTGACATTTCTAATCCCCACCCTGCAGGCTTACCTCTGTATCCGCTGACTCCAGTTGCTCACTGAGCAGCTTGGTGTACGAGTCACAGATGTTCTTGATGCTGAGGAAGCCTTGCATGCCACAGGGCAGACTGACCGTCACCTCGAAGTCAGTCACCTCCTTCACACAGCCCAGCATCAGGATGCCCTCCTTCAGATTCTAGGAAATGAGGAATAATACACAGAAGATCAAGAAAAACAAAAATAACATTTAATCAGATGTGCCGAATAAACTATATCATTTGGGGAAAATGAGCCTGCTAAGCACATTTAACAATTTATTCACAAATGCTGGTTCACCAATGTTAATAATAATAACTTGGATTTATATATAGCGCCTCCAAGAAACCCAAGGACGCTTTTACCTTCATGTGCAGGATTTCCACACACTTGGATGCTGCGTTCAGTGTCAGGCCATCTTCCTTGCCCGTCTTTGACTTCTTGAGCTTCTTGCCGTCATCTTTGCCCGCCCCCTTTCTTTTCTTTGTTTCTGCTGGTTCATTTGACTGCGACAGAAAAGCAAACAATCATTCACAAATGAGTTTTGTTAATATCATTAAGTCAGCAAGGATACCATTTTGATTTGATTCAATTCAGGGGCTTGTGATTGATACTAAAATATATCATGAGCACATTAAAGATAATTGGTAACATACATATGTTAACTCACAAAAGGCGACTAAGATAGTATTTGACAATAGCATCCCTAGCCTTTTCCATATACAGTATTTAAATGAAGAACAATACTGTATTTCATATAAATATTTGAAAATAGATCTCAATGTTAACTGTAACTTGCCTTGTTTCACATCTTCAAACACTATATGAAGGTGTGCGTGAACCAGAGTGAATGAGAGGGGTATGATAGCAGAACAGCTGATGCTTAGCTTGAATTAATAATAATCCTCTTTTTGGTGATAGCTACATACGCACAATCCTGAGTGATTTGGCTAGTCAAAGTAAAGTATGTTCACAGTTATATGGACAAAAAGTCAGAAAAGAGTAGGACTTTACCTGGAACAAGTTGTCGACCTCTGTCCTCTGCACAGCTATTTTACTCTCGATGGGCTTCTTTGCCGACCCTCCTCGAGGGAAGTCCTCCTCCACAGATGCCATGTTTGATGTTGTTTCAGATGTCTTAGAATATTAAACGCACTGTTGATAAACAAAGTCCCAAGCAAATGAAACAAACAAGTTATGTTAAGCCAAGTGACAAATAGATGTTATTAGAACTAGATTGTGCCTCTCACGCAGAGATAGGAGAAGTAATCAGATCTTGTACTTGAGTAAAAGTAGAAATACCAGTGTAGGAGTACTTTGAAAAAAACTTTAGTACCAAAAGTAAAAGTACTTAGTACGCAGATTGGTCAATTTCAGAATAATATATACGATACATTTTGATTATAATTACTGATCATTAAAGTGTTATCACAGCTGGTAAAGGTGCAGCTAGTTTTAATGACTTTGTATACTGCAGGGTAGCTTGTGAATTTACTCCAGGTGGAACTAAAAGTACACCATTTAACTCTGAATTGTCGTGGAGTGGTACAAAGTAGCATAAAATGGAAATACTCAAGCAAAGTACAAGTACCTCAAAATTGTACTTAAGTTCAGTAATTGAGTAAATGCAATTAGTTACTTCCCACCTCTGCTTTCATGTAACTTAACCAGAAATCTTACATTTTAAAACTAGTTACTATTACATTGGTGTTACAAATACAGAAGAATGGTAGCACAAACAGCAGTTTGCCTCTCTAATCAGATAGTGTTTGCTTTATCAAATATACATCTAAATACGTAAATCATTAAGTGCGAAAAATATAACCAACCCTACAAAGATCAGTTGCAATTCTGCTGCATTTAAAGTTACCATTACAAATGCACGAGAAGAACACATGATCTAACGTATTAAAGCACTCAGACTGACCACAAAGACAGTGTGGCAGCATTAAAAAAAAAGCCTATACAGAATAAATAAACCTCGAATGGATTAAAACGTGTATCAAATGATTCTCTCAGAATTTATCATGAAATGTTTCCTTACATTAAATCTCCGGCAAAACTCACATGTTGTTCAGCAACACGCCATGATCCTAACCCGGAAGTACATCCAATATAGGCGTGTCAATGTTCCACCACTCACATACAAGAAAGAATGATTGGCACCACCTTAAGCCAATAGGTGGTTTAGTCACACACTTACTTTGAGTGACATTACTTTAGACCAATACTGACACACGTTGGGTTGCTTGGAGTAGGCGGGATTTCCTTGCGAATTTAGCATCGCGGCCTCTGCTTTACTGAAGGACACTTGTCTCGTTCTGTTTGCTCAAGGGTCGAGTGTTAAAGGTAAGTCGTAACGCATTTAGAAACAATTAACACGATTTACATTGTTTTTTTACAATGTCAAGTTGTATTCATGTTATATCCAAATGCGTGTGTCAATGTACCATTAAACGATAAGCAGCGGTTTGAATATTAAACTAGTAGCTAGCTAGCAAGCTAACATAGGAAGCTAACTTGAACCCACAAGCTAACTGTTAATGAAAGTCAGTATGAATGAAAGCCCACTATTGTAGCATGTGTCAACCACAATGTTATTGCATTGAAGTTGGCTAGCCTTACGGTACAAATGTTTTACAGGTGTATTGCATAGACTGTATATATAAAGGTGTATTGAACGAAAGCATGTCCTTAGCGTCTTGACATGTCAGCTACATTTGATCCTAGCACGTCAATCTAATCACCATACAATGTCATGTAATAAGGCTAGTCAATTCAGCACGCCGTTTACACTTGCAATAAGGTTATTTTGTGCATATTTTGTGTAAAATATTTCACTTGAGTTAACACGGAGTTTCCCCACACTCTGTCCTGCAGAGCTATCAACACTGCAACAACTAAATTATGTATTGTGTGACTTGAAATCCAAATTAAGATCCTCATAAGTAGTTAAACTTGGTATTCTTCTAATGATCGATCTGATTTTCAATATTATCATTTTGAAAAATGTCCCAGGGCCCAAGGTGAAGTCTTCAAATGTCATTTTTGTAAAGGTCAAGAATTGTCTTGCTCGTATATTCTAATATTCATAACTCAATCACCTTTCTTCTCTTTTAGGAACATAAATAATCCATCATGGGAGGCCACGATGCAGGAACCCAGCAACAGTTCACTGGCTTTGCCAAGTACTTCAACGCATACACAATCACAGGGAGGAGGAATGTGAGTTGTGTGCAACTTAACTATAAATATACCACATTTTCATTCTGTTCTAATTCAAGCAGCCTAAAACTGTCATGTTTCTATGATTTTTCTCTCATGCACCTTTTTTTTGTCTTTCCTTTAGTGTGTTTTGGCCACATATTCTAGCATATTAGCCATTGCCCTCTTCTTCAAATTGAAGCCCAAGAAACAGGCCGCCATCAAAGAATGATCATGTAAGTTCATTATTAAAGTTTACTTTAGAAAAGTACTGCTTTATTCCAGTAACTGAAGCTCTTTATTTTCTCCTTACAGGTTTCCATTTTGACCAACATTTCTAACAGCTTGGAGTGGAGGAAGCAGCTGGACATGCTTGTAATAAAAATAAGTTTTTGTTTCCCTATGTAAACAATAAAGACAATTTATGCCCCAAATGTAGAAAACGTTTTTTTATTTACAGTGTACACCAGTATAAAATGCTATGAAACAGAAATGTCAGCCACATGTTGAACAAAGCTGTACTCATGGCAGTGATTTAAAAAAAAAGATCCCTAATCAATGGCACTAGGCATGGCGTGCGGATGTCTGCGAAAGATCTGTTAGACAGAACAGGAGAAGGATAGCCAAATATTTTATCTTCATTCACAGCTGGATTCTCAGCAGAGGTGTATTGTTGATAACAGTTTCATTCCAACTGAACCACGAATCTCTTCAGTTCCTTGGGGACCAAATGTTTGCTTAATTTCAAGCATTATAGATAATTTTCCTCATAATTCAATAATGTCTCATGGATTGTAGCCCCCGGCGGCCAGCAGCAGGTTCCTGCGGGTGAAGTGAAGGTGTATGACGGGGGTGGATTTAGACGTGTAGGCGCCCAGCAGAAGCTCCTTGGAGTTATCATGTAGATGGACATGCCCTGTAGCCGCCGTGAAATCGTCAGTTTCTAAATCATCAAATGCTTTTGTAGCGTTCCAAAGACGAACTGTGTTGTCCATTGAGCCTAGAAGAACGAGATGAAACATTGTCAATGTATGTTGGGTTTTGTAGCTTTACCATTTTCTACAGGAGATTTTAAGTCCTACAATGCAACAGTTGATATAAATTCAACTCACCGGAGGCAAGGATCTCTCCGTCTCTGCTGAAGCGCAGAGAGTACACGGTATCTGTGTGGCCTTTCAGTTCGCCAATCATCAGCCCATGCCCGATGTCCCACAGGAGCACTCTGCTGTCAGTGGCCCCTGAAGCCAGGAACTTCCCGTTGGGAGAGAAAGCCAGCGAATGGATAGGACCCTGGAAGATGAGAGGTAAAAGGCTCAGTACAGCAGTGTCACAATTCTGATAACTGCTGTAGTGTATTTAAAAACATTTAACTCTCCATGTGTTGGATAAATTATTACTTTGTAGGATCCTTCAAAAATAATAAAAGCAAAAACACAAATTGACCAGGGTTATTATAAACTAAAACCAAAATATGTTTGTTGAATGAAAACGATATCCCTTAGGAAATGCTGTATTGCCTGGTTGAATAACTCAAATAAAAACGAATTCAAATTACTTTTAAAGCATTAATATATTACTACAGGGGGGGAAAACAAGATTGCATTAATTCCATAAACTCTTGCTATATTCAACAAAAATAAAAACAAGAACTTGTCATTCCAGGAGATGGCGCTATTTTGCTATTGCATCACAATGATTCCCTGTTTGTCAAATACAGTACATTTTTGTGGAATGAAATCACAAGGTAATGACTTCAATCACATCACAATAATTGCTGATGTGTGTGACATTGTGTAAACTTAACCTACTATGCAGATACCAAACTTGAAGTAACTCTTAAGACATTTTCCTCAACAAATACATCATTTTGTTTAATTATATAAAGGCTTTACTACATTACTTAAGACAACATGTACACATTGATGTTCTTCCTAACGGAGAGAGCACAGATCTGCAGCTCTGTCGACCTCTCTGACCTTGTGACCGGTGAAGATGCGGACGCAGTTTCCGGTCAGGACGTCCCACACCCGGATGGTGCGATCCGATGACCCTGTGGCCACATAATTGGAGTTGGGGTGGAAGCGGGTGCAAGTGACGTCAGCTAGGTGACCAGAAAAGATCCGTAGAGGCTGGTAGTGATCTGTCGCCCACAGACTGTTGGAGAAAGGAAAATGTCAGATAAGAGAAGGGGCTGGTGTATCAATATGTGTTTCACTCTGTGTTACAGAACGACGGTTTCTTACCGGGCAACTCTGTCATGTCCCCCGGAGATAAAATAGTACCCATGCGGGGAAAATTGGGTATCCCACACTGGGTAGTTGTGGCCTTTGTAGCCCACCAGACACGTGAATGTTTGAAGACTCCACAGCCGGACCGTACCATCTTCAGAACTCGACAACAAGTAGTTTCTGGAATGTAAAACGAGAATGTCAACAAAAAGTATTGCATACATCTGATACTTACACTGTTTTTCCGCAAGATAATCGTACAAATTAAACACAACTTATTATATTTCTTTAAGCCTTGATGCAAAAAGCTGAAGTCAAAATCTAACGTCTCTAGAAGAACTACACCATGGTACATCATGAATTCCAGCCCCACTCCAACTTGTGATTTCAGCTTACTTCTTCTACTCTGTGATAGATATAGCTAGAGAAGTATAACAACAAGGCTGTGAAAGCTGACTAGTGGTTGAGTTTTCTGTTTGGTGAGATGACGTTTAATGTTCACAGCAACCTCTTAAGTCTCATTTAGAAACTTGTTGTCATGAGTGCACATTATAGAGTATCTGTAAAAATGAACAATAACGTGCATTGTACCTGTCCGGGCTGAAGCTGATGCCGTACACTGGGCCGCTGTGTCCGTACAGGATCTTCAACTCACTGGCCGTCTTCTCATCCATGATCCTCTCCAACACGTCGTCCGACTCTTTGTCGATCAGATTCAAGTCTTGGGAGAGAAGAGACTTGTGTTATAGAAGGTCCGAATAACATCAAGCCGGGTTCACAGTGGTAACGGTCGTTCGCTGTACCTGCTGCGGACTTGACCTTGCGGAGCTTCTTGGGCGTGACGCTCCACACCCGTACTGTGGAGTCAGCGAAGCCCCCCGCGATCAGGCTGGAGTCGTCTGTGAAGTCAACAGCTGTCAGACCCTGCAGGGGGAAAAAGATGAAAATAATTAGAGATTATTATCCTTTATTACTCAGCTTAGTTGAATACACGATTCTGATTGGTCAATTCAGAACATGTGAGACGTTGTTAATACAGTACAGACCGCTGTCAAGGATTTAGGACTATAATGACCGTTGCTAAGGAGGATCAAGAAAGAGACAGGAAGTAAACACTAACACGGTATGGGCTCTGCAGTGTTTAAGGACTTGTTAGTGGATCAGAATCTATAAACAGACTTGGACAGTGCTTCCGTAAAGTTGTTGTTGTCACAGTTCCAGCCGTTGGTATGCGTGGAACATAATTTTGTTTTGCTTCGCGGAAGAAACCAGTCATTTTTAAGTCAATCAAATAATTTCAATTAATATTGGGAGTCGAGTCGTTAGTTTGTTTAGTATCTGTCGGTTGTTCTTTTCCCCATAATGACCGCCTCGCCGCACATTATCCCTTACTTATTACACGTCATGATTGAGTTCTTGATTCCCATTGGGCAATCTGGACATTCAGCAGTCTGATATTTCTTGTTAGCAGACTGTTGCTAAGGACCTGGTAAGCGTTGAGGAAAGTGTAGAAGCAGATGGAAGGCAGGATTTCTGGTCCCAGGCGGATCCTCTTGGTGGCCTCCTTCATGTACATGATCTTGTCCAGCTTGTCTGAGTCCTTTAGTTCTGGAAGGGGTATCCTGAATAACCAAAAGCACAAGGTAACACTTTTAAGGATGTTCAAGTTAATAACTGAAACTATGAGGTTCTTATAAGCATCTCATCGTTACCGCAGCATCCGGACTAAAACCACCAGACTCAGGGACAGTTTCATCCCACAGGCAATAAGACTGTTAAACACCTGGGGCCTCATTTATAACGCCTTGCGTAGGATTGGCGTGGGAAGGTTGCTTACGTAGGACAAAGCAAATAAATACGCACAGACATTTTCCGATTCATAAAAGACTGCGTACCGGCGTAGGACTTGCGTACGGCACTTCCTACGCCTGTTTCCCTTTATAAATCACAATCGACTCGTAACGCCCATATTTGCCTATAAATAGTAAAAGAAACGCCCATTCATTCATTCATTTTGACTGACTGCATGAAGAAGATCGCAGGAAATGACGACAGAACAGCTAAAAAAGACATCTCACACCGTGTCAGATTTTGGTTATTTTGGGGAGGTCGAGATAAATCATATTGTTTGGTGGATGCAGTTTGAACCAGAGTAGCAGCATGGAGGTCGGATCGTCACCAAAATAAATAAATAAGTGGTCCGAAAAAAGTGAATGACAAAACAAATACTCAGGCAGTGTGTTTGTCCCGGGGACAGGAGACACCCCCTTGATGAGAAACTGTAAGAAATGATCGGGGAATCCCTCCGGAGTGGAGTCATGACGACTGGATCTGAATTATTTTTGTTGTATTTGGTGGTTTGTGTTCCAGCTGTCGATCAGCAACTATATATCCATAATCCACCAGTTAAAGGAAATACAACTGTGTTGTGTTATATTAGCTGTACAATTTACCACATATGGTGTTCTTAGTTTCCATACCTCCTGTGTTTTACGAGCGACTTATCAAGTAGGCTATTGGCGAACGGCATAAAACATGATTAAACATGATAGTATATAAAACCATGCTCGTATCTACAACCTATAGAAATGCAAAACGGCGTCAGTTTAAAGTAATTCTATCCTTCTGTTTACCGCATCATTTATGAGAATACATTTCTTAACAAGAGAACATAATCGAGGGGTGATCAATAACATATCCGTATTTATTTATTTCTCCAAGTTATGTTTTTGTGTGCACTGAGGAGTCTCAAACAGGCGTTTGTTAAATAATTTTAAGATTGGCTTTAATCAATTTGTGAAAATGAATTCTTCATATATGATACATGAGAGGTAACATTTTATTTATGGTATTATTTCCACATATTTCTCTCCATTCTTCCTTCTGCCAACGGTGTCGCAGTTTCTCGTCTCTCCCGTTGTTGTGCTTAGTGCGTACGCATGGGTCAGAGTTTGCGTAGAGGTCCGCACATTTTCCCGTCAAGTTTGTTTTTTATAAATCGCAAACATTGCGTAGAAACTGGCGTCTTTTGAGCGTACGCACCGTTTATAAATGAGGCCCCAGAACAGTTCAAACAACATCCCTAATATTCATCTGGATGCTACTTAAAAATTATTTTTAAATTATTTATCTATTTACCTATATATCCTATTTCAATAACTTGCATATAGACTCTTATTGCACTATTTCACTTTTTTAAAACTATTTTTCTTTTTGTATTACTATTTACTTGCACTATATTTTTTCTGTTTATCTGTGTTTTGTGTTGCTCTTTTGGAGAAGCCTGTGACACAAGATTTTCATCGGCATAACTACACTGTAGCTATGCTCATATGACTAAATAAATAACCTTGAACCTTGAAGCTTTAGAATGGGAAGCTTGGATGTTTAGCAAGGACAACACTATCAACCTTCTTGTACTGAGGCTTGTTACATTAATTTGAAATGTAATTATGAGCACAAAATGCTCCCCTGTGTGTCAGAAACCTCTACCTGGTCTGTGCAGGTGCGTTAGGATCCTGCTTCTTGCTCTTGGAGCCCATGCTGTCCTTTTTGGGTTTCTTCTTCTTGGGTTTGCCCTCCTCATTGTCTGCCTCCTCATCCTCGTCGTCAAGGGGAAGCTCAATTTCTGGTTCCTTCAGCAGTCCATAGTAAACCTGAATGAACCAAAAAGGTTTTTACTGCAACAGCCGGTAACCGTCTTAACTCCACAACCACCATGAGAAGGGCATGCTTTCATTAATGAGAAAGGTAAAAATGACATCATTTATCATAGCCAGAAACTACAGGTCTTTAAAATGTTGTACGATCCTTGAACACATCAGGTGTGACAAATGTTCCAAAACGAAGACAAAAAAAGAAAGACAAAAAACCTAAAAGAGTGACCAAAATACTTAATTCTTCAGGTCTTAAATGTTGTCAAAAATAAAGCCTTTGCAATAAACAGTTTTAGAAGAAAAATAAATAAATGTTGAAATATATATTCAATTGTGCCAACATGTAAAAAAGAAAATGACCAAGCAAATTCAACTTGCCTTTTTTAACTTTGTTATACTGTACATGTATTAGTTGTCTCTATCTCTAGACAATAATGTGCTGTTCCCAAGGAGTTGCAGTACTTTAAATACATTAAAAACCAGGCCCCAGTGAGTTCAATGTGACAAAAAACACCCTGATAGGGAAACAAAGCAAACACATTCAACTGTGCTGGTGTATAAACCCACCTTTGCCTTGTTGGCCTCCCGCTTGCCCTCCCCGGCCAGGCTGCCAGACATGGCATCGATCTGGCTCTTGCTACGGGGCATGCCATCGAAGATGTCGATGTAGAGGTGCTCTTGTATGATGTTCCAGATCTGGTTGTTCTGGCGCTCCTGCAGATGCCTCTTCAGCAGCTGGTAGGAGTCTCGGGAGATCCGCAGGACGAACTTGCTGGTGCGGAAGTCCAGCAGCGTCTCGTTGCCTCTCATGTGCTCCCTCTTGGACAGGCTGGACAGAATGCGCAGGTCGTCTTCGTAGTAACACTCCTGATCCCCACTGAACCTGAGAGGGGACAAATAGAGAGGTAAGGGTTTATAATAAGCAGGATGTAATGCTACTGAAAAAAATAAAGAGTTTAAAGTTAAAGTCAGTCTTTATTAGTCCCAGATCGGGGAAATTCACAATGTTACAGAAAAGGGACAGTGCAGCTAAAGTTACCAGACTAAAATCAAAATCAAAATATACACATCACTGGTAAACATAAGTAGAAGCATGATAAATGAAATGCTGAACAATATTGAAGTAGCAACCAGTTTTATGATTAAATTGTAGAAAAGTGTACAAAACACTGACTGTCTCTCAGCAGTGGTAAAGAAAATCTGAAGTAGTGAAATACCAGCTGGGAATAACTTAAAAATTGCCAAAGATTCTTAACAGTAGTCAAAATATGTCACAATTTGTCAAGGATACTCACTTTTCAAAGAACGCCTTGGCCTCACTTTCGTGGTTGTTGTACACCAGTTCCAGATACATGTGCACGAACAGCGGGTAGAAGACCTGGGACAGCTCCGCTCGGTGACAGTCCAGAACCGATTCGATGAACTTCTTCAGGCCGCTGTAGTAAACCTGGTACAGGGGGGGGTCTCCCTGCTGACTGTAGGCCGACAGCACCACATTGACGTCCGGCTGATCCTCCCCAGCAGCTGGGGGGGAACAAGGCAGAGTGAGATGTGTAACTTAAGGAAGGCTTTTTAAAGTTACTATTGTTTTAGGTTGTTGTTTGTTTTAGCTGAGTTTAACTGTCATTGAAGTATAAGAAAATGTATGTTGCTTTACAACACAATTTTAAACTAGAGAGATGACATGATGACACCAAGCCAACTGTTGGTTAGTATTGAGTCATAGGGATGCCTTAAAAAAAACTGTAATAATAATAATTAAATAGGTAAATAAATAAATATAAATATAAAGAGAAATAAATACAATAATGAAGAAATGAATTTAATATATTAAAAAGCTGTTTTATTTATTTTCATGTTCATTTGATAAGTACGTCGGTGTGTTAAAGTGTTAGTTCGAATTCACCAAGTCACATAGTAACACTAAAACTACCCAATCAAGGCAGAGAGGCAACTTTAAATACAAACAATAATTCTGTTTGTTTATCTTTAACATTTCAACTGTTTAATGAACTTTTTATCATCTAATTTATTCATTTTCATTTTGTATACTATATTATGTATATATATTTATTTATTGTCTTATTCTTTAGCAGGATTTTTCTGTATGCATTCCTAAGACTCCACAAATTAAATAAAAAAGCTACTAAATGGATTCTTTCTTGAGTCAGATTTTCTTTACATGTTTTGTAGAAGGCATGTCTGAAAAACGGTTTGTTTAGTATCCTTACCTGAAATACATTCAAACTGAAGTAGTACTAGTACTTGAACATTTGAATGAATGGGAAAATAGTTGTTTCAAAAAAGCCAAACAAAAAGTTGTGATCACATGAAAATGTGCAACAGTTACCAGAAACACAATAAACACCTGTATCATAAAATGAAATCCATACATCCCCGATATATATACCTTTGTGAAACAAAAATGACTATACCTCCATGTATGTTATGTTGCTGTACTAAACTACTACTCATATTATGGCATATCTTACACAATGTTGTATTATACAAAACAGTATGGACTATACTACTATATTACTACATTACTACACCTTATATAATGTCTCATATTATACCATACCATATTATATATATTCTATTCTATTAAATTAATACAGATATACACATACTGTTACTTAATTGTATAATATTTTACCCTGGTTATTCACATACTTTTTGACATGTCATTTTCTCTCTAATTATATTTTCATTCTATAATGGTTTTACTCTGTGTAGCTTATTTTACACTTTCATTTCAACATAGGTAACTCTATGATTTATCTCTATTTAATCGATACTAATCTGTATGTAGTAATATCATAGACTGAGTAATATCCGTGTACTGCTGCAACAACCGTATTCCCCCGCTGGGGATTGATAAAGGCGTATTTTTGGAGTTGGATCAACACATAGTAGTTTATGGACTTCAGGTCATTGAGTGTAACTCTTTTTAACGTGATAGTAATCCAAGGAGCACATGCTTCTCACTCCTATTAGGTGATTTTATATTCACCTATTACAGATGCAAAATAATTTCACACAATAATACAGCACAAGCCAAGTTGTAATCGGACCTTTAGTTGGCGCCGGAGCTACAGCGGAGGCTGAGCTGGTCACTCGGCTGAGAAGAGAGCTCGCATCCCCGTCTGCTAGTTCCACACTGCCCGCAGCAGCACCAGAACCTGCCCCGGAGGAGTCACCCCCCTTCAGGTCCAGTGAATCCTCCGGTAATCCGGCTTCACGACGCAATATTTCGACAGACTCAGTCAGTTTGTTCTTTCGGAGGAACTGCAGGACCGCCAGCAGCGTCTGCTGATCCTCCGGGGGTCCTGCCGTTGATTTAATACTTCCAGTCGAAGAACTAGAGCCAGGGGACGTAGAAAGCAGCCTTCCATCATTTGCATTATTATTTCCACCGCCATCGTTTGATGGTTCTGTTTTAATGTCTTTTTCTTCAACCGCGTCGACCTGACCACCTTGTACGGCCGCCATTTTAAAAATGAACTGCGCATGTGCGAGGTTCAAAAACGGAAAACACTCAAATGTAAGTTTAGGTCACCCGATTGGTTCTTATGATGCAGCGTCACCCTACGTAGCGCTGAAGTCCCGCCTCCCGCTCCATCAGCATCTTATCTGCTGGTTAGTAGCGAAAATTGATTAAATCCAAATGTATACCTTATAATTTTGTCCTCAACAGGCTTAATTATGCTCCTAAACTTCTCAAATAAGATATTCTAATGTTTACCAAGTACACCTACTGTACCTTTTGTCATTTTCATTCAACTAAGATTTATTTTCTACTTGTTTTTTATATAGTCTTATTTTTTACTTCTAATCATCTGTACTTATTTAGGTCGTTTTTTTCACCCTGAACTTCCTTAACTCTCACCAATTAAGGCTTATCTTTTTTTATGTAAACGTAATTAATTTGAGCAGCAATAATCATTTAATTTTTTTTTTTATTATTACGAAATTAAAGACTTACATTTATAAATAAACTGCAAACAGGAATGCATATTTCATTTACTAATTTATAATATTGATGTTCCATTTTGCACCAGATGGGGGCACTTTGGTCCCACACAACCCCTGCCCAGTCAAGAGTGTCCCAACAATTTCGCCTCCTTCTTGGACAAATGTAAAGAAAAACAGATTATTTGAAAACAAATGATTATTTTAATTTAGCTACTGAATATTTTCTTAATTTATCAGATATTTGTTTTGTATATAAAAGATCCTCAAATAAAACAATTCCGTCACACGTTCCCAGAGCCCATGCTTCATGTGTCGTTTTTTCCAACCAATATCGAAAACCTAGATAGTCACCTTGCTATAATAGAAGAGTTATAAAAGCAGACACAATTAGGAAGCTGAAACCAGTTAATTGTAGCTATATCTTTGTTTTTAAGACAACAGCTCTAATGAATGTAACCTGTAACTTAGTAATGCATTTAGGACATGCAGCATCTTTTCATGATCCACCCTTATTTGCTTCACATTCACATGATTTTAAAATAATGCAGAATCTCCTTATATATCTGATACACAACTATTTAATGTCAAACAGAGAGAAAATACAAGTTTTATAAAATTGTGATCCTGATAAGCACTTGATCAACCCAACTTTGTGTTTGGCAGTTGGATTGATCAACTGCTTTATATAAAAAAAGCGAATAATTATATATCACTTATATATATCATCTACATACTTATATAAAAGCACATGCCATATAGAAACTATATACAAGTTCCAGCAGTGCTCACTTTGCATTCTGCTGACGTGGGATTTCTGCCTTACAGAGTAACACACCTTCCCTCTTTAAACTCCCATTCAGAGAAGCAGTCGTATACCGCTGACTGTGCATCACTGGGACATCACGGCATCTATTTTCATTTCTAAGAGACTGTCCGTCGAAAATCAGAACTTAATAGCATTTTATTTTAGTTTCATACAGTACAAGTGCAATGTAAACTCAATGTCAGAATTTCTCATTCGTTAGAAATCCCTTCTTTACAGTACTTTGATCGAGATATATCCTAATTAATAACACCTTATGGACTGTATGTACATACTTAGAAATCTGTGCAGCAATTACTGAATTAAAGCTTGGATGTACTTAAAGCTTATTTTTTCCCTGCTCTGGCTCATAAGAGCAACTCAGCAGCAGGTTTTTCTTTTCGTGTGGTAGACTCAGGTCCACGTTGAGGGGTGGGACAAAAGCAGAAGAAGAAGCAGCAGGTGACGTTGTATAACATTGCAGTGGTGTAGCTCCATGTGGGGGCTGGGGTGGGGTTGGTTGGTTGTTTGGTTGGTTGGTTGGAGGGTGTAGGAGACAAACATCAGCACCAAGGGCGTGGTCCTCAGTGCAGGCTCATTATAACGTGGCTCCTTTGGGGTGTCACTGAAAGATAGAACGTGTCTCTTACCAAGCAGATATGCAGATGACCTGGGCTGAAACACGTGTGTCAGGCTAAAGGTTATTGATTGAAGATCTATAAGTGTTATCTTCATATAGCGATTTACATAGAGCCTGCTGTGCTGCACCTGAATGCCCCACCATGAGGAGGACAGTGACATGTGCTTTTATGTTTTTATATAATCTCTTCACTTGGCTGTTTAAGTGTTTTTATTTTCAAAATGAAATGATAATGAATGACAATAGAGACAGAAAAAAGCAATTTCACCTGTTTAGTCTAACGCTTCATGGCAGCTCAACAGTGTTGACATTGATTTGAAATAAAACTGAGTGATTACATGCAGAAGTAGGCTGGTGCCGGAGGAATAAATTGCGTAAGTGATAAAGACAAGTGACTCTATATGAGAGCTGCAGCGCCTGGTTGAATAAACATTTAGTTGATCAACAGAAATATAATCTCTCTTGATGCAAAAATGGCAGAAAATACTTTTTCAGCCTCTAAATTATAGAGATTTTGCTATTTTAACCAATGTTCTATTATATTAAACAGTAAAAAAGTATATTTGGTGTTTGGACCGATTAAATATTTAAAGATATCTTCTTGGACTTTAGACATTTTCGAAACAAAATGATTAATTGATTAATCGAGAAAGAAAAAATCGGATTAATTGATTATGAAATGAATCGTTGCAGCCCTACACTTTAATTAACGTTATAGCTTTCCTCTAATGCATTTCAGAGGGAAAAGTAGTGATAACACTGTAACACACTTTTACAATTTGTGGAATATTTCTTCATCCATCGCTATACTTTTTAACTGATTCCTTCCACTTGCTATAAATGAATTTAGATGTAAGTGTATTTACGAAACGATACTATAGGAAATGATACAATAGGATACGATATTAAACGAAAAGGTAGGAAACGATACGATAAATTACATTGCGATAACAATTATTGTCAGATCAAGTTGGAAATGTCTCTTGCATCACAGCAGCTCCACTTGAAACATCACCAAGGACAAATGCAAGCAATTGAAAGACTTCTCTTCCTATCTTACATTATATTGTGACATTAGATGTAATTACAGACAGTCCATACCCAGAAATCTGCTATTTTCGTAAATATCTATTACAATTTCACCTTCATCTGTCCCTCCTCTACAGCACCTGGCAGCAACCATGTTCAACCTTTTATTATTTCTGTGTTAAAGGAGACCGTTAAGGTCAGTCGTTTTGCCAGAATCTTTATGGATTTTAAGTGACCTTCGCCGGTCGCCCACTTCTGTACCCTTTTGTCTTTCTATCCTCTCAGTTTGGTATGTGGTCTAATTTTCAGTGAATGTAATGCTGTTTACACGAGAACGCAAACGGTTGTATCCGCTACTTTTCTCTTTCGTATAGCCCGTTCGTTCACACGAGGCCGTAACGGAAACGCGGAAACGGACCCCGCAAACGATAACGGGTCGCGAGGTGGATATATCTGCAAACGGAACGCTCTGGGGGGCCAAACGGCTCCGTGTGTACGCTATACGATCATTTCCTGATAATGATGAAGCCATAGCCCCACCTCTCCCCACCTCTGCTGCTCACTGCTGTAGCATGGTCAGTAGCTACTGTCAGTAGCTACTGAC